CTTGTCATCTTTTGTTCTTAAATTATAATCAGGGCAACCAAAATAGTTTGCTTTAAATTCTGTAGTAACTAAAAGATGACAAATTATGTAGCTGTTTCTATGATTCTTGTAATACCAAGGAATATTCTAGCAGATAATTCTGTGAAATGTGAAAAGCTGATTCTAAAAAGTTTATATGAAACTGTAAAGAGCCAAGGAAATCTTGAAAAACAAAGCTGGCAAACTGATTCTAGACTGGGCACAGTGGCTCACACCTGTAGTCCCAGCTACCAGGAGACTGATAGGGAAGGATCACTTGAGCCCAGGAATTTGAGGCTACAGAGCACTATGATCGTACCATAGCACTCTAGCCTGAGTGATAAAGCAAGACCCTGTATCTATCAATCAATCAATCGAGTTATAAAGCTATAACAATTAGACAAAACAATGGAATCAGAGAGAGCCCAGAATCAGAGAGAGACACATCCATAGGATTAGCTGTTTTATGACTAAGGTCACACTACAATGCAATGAGGAAGAGATATTTTCCATAAACACTGGTTGGTCCGTTGGATATTTATACAGCAAAATATGAACCTTGATCTTTACCCCATGCTGTAGACAAAGATCAATTCCAGAAGAACTATAAACGATTTTTCCAATACTTCTAGCTGTTTTATTAACTATAGATTTAACCATGAAAGGTAAAACAACAAAAGTTTCCAGAAGAAAACTTCACAGAATATATCAAGGACTTTGTGGTAGGCAAAGATTTCCACAACAGAACATAAGAAACAGTAATCACAGGCTGGGTGCAGTGGCTCACATCTGTAATCCCAGTACTTTGGGAGGTCAAGGTGGGTTGATCACAAAGTCAGTAGTTCAAGACTAGCCTAACGAATATGGTGAAACCCCGTTTCTACTAAAAATACAAAAATTAGCCAGGCATGGTGGTGCACACCTGTAGTCCACGCTACTTGAGAGGCTGAGACAAAATCGCTTGAACCTGGGAGGCAGAGGTTGCACTGAACCAAGATCATACCATCATACCACTGCACTCCAGGCTGGGCAACAGAGTGAGACTCCGTCTCAAGGAAAAAAAAAAAAAGAAAAGAAACAGTAATCATAAATGGCTTACAAACTATAAATTAGTTTACATTAAACTTAGGAACTTCTAGTAATCAAAAGATACCTAAGAGTGAAATGGTAAGACACCAAGTGAGAAGAAATATTTGCAATACAGTTAGGTGACAAAAGATTCTTATCTACATATATAATAGTCCAACAAATCAACTACAAAAAACAAATTAAGAAATGGACAGAGTGGACAGGTACTTTACAAGAGGGTAATTCAACCAAATAACAATCGTATAAAAAAGTACCTGACATCCTTAGGTATCAGGGAAATACAATTTAAACCACAGGGAGCTACCACTACATAATCACCAGAATGACTTAAATGAAAAAGACACTACTAAACATGGCAAAGGATGTGGAACACTGCTAGTGGGAATGTAAATCAGCACAATAACTTTGGAACACTGGCATTATCTAGCAAAACTGAGTATCTGCATATGTTTTGATCCTGAAATCCTAATATTAGGTATATACTCATCAAGACACATGAAAAATATTCATAGCACCCCTGTTCTAACAGCCTCAAACTGGAAACAACTCAAATGTCCATCTATATGGTAACAAGATAAACAACAAACTGTGGTATATTAACACAATGGAATACCATACAGCAGTACCACTACATACAAGATGGATGAAATCTCATCAACATTATACTACAGGAAAGAGACCAGACACAATATGTACATACTATCTGATTCCATTAAAGTTCAAAAAGAAGCACAAAATATATCAGTGGTGTTCAAGGTCAGGATAGTGATCTCCTGGGTATTTGTTCATGTGGTGGGACTGGGGGGTTAGCACAGCATTGATTAAAAAGGGTTTGGGGAAGGTTTCTGGCTACTAATATTTGGCTTTTTAAACCATGGTGTGTTCTCTGTGAAGATTCATCAAGCTATACATTTATAATATGTATATTACGCATTCTGTGTATAGATTATATTTCAGTAAAAAGTTTACTAAATAAAATCAACTCCTGGAGGGACACCTCAATGTAGGCTAAGAGACAGAGCTTTTACTGGGAGGACTCAAGGGATGAGGAATACAACTGTGCAAGAATAAGCATGCTCATTTTTCTCCTATTGCTATCTCTTCTGGATCCCATTCAGTTTCATAAAGCCAGTGCCTAAGGACAAACCAAAGGCTATCTTCCAATCTGCTGCAGACAGCAGCTTCCCCACTCATAGGAATAAGAACTGAAGGCTCTTGCAATAAAAGGAATATGGTCCTTGCACATGGAGTTTCTTACCTTGAAGTCTAAAGCTAAAGAAGCAAAACCAGTCTGTGCAGCTGGCATGATCAGGTCACCAGGGTAGCAGATCACAAAGACATGGGGCCAGAACCACAGCTGGTAACAAAGAGGTACATCTGCCTGGAATTTCGTCTTTGCAATATATACTACCCAAGAAGCCTGAAGAGATGGTGACAACCAGAGTTGGTGGCTCATCAAGGACTTGAGATCCATAACCCAGGCACACACTGCCATGATTACCAAGTCCAGAATCTCATTTTATTTAGTAACAAAAACAGTTTTCATGGTGTACATATTACACAGTTTAGATGAATATTTTTATCATTTAGCATAAAATTAATAATTCCTAACTTTATCTGAAAAACCATTTGAAAAGCATGTAATGTGATGCGCATCAGTGTACTGTCCCATTTAAAAGATTACTGAAGCAAACTTGCATTGTATCAAAGCAAGATAGTTTGTAATATTGTGGAAACAACTGGGAATGGGAGCCAAGAGGCCCGCTGTAAAACCTGGCATTTAGGAGACATATAATAAATGACAAATTAATGATAAAGTGATAAGGGACTTTGAGCACATTTTATTTCTTCTCTCACTGGATGTTTCTTCATGGCTAAAATAAGATTATAATGAGGATTAAATGACTTGCTACATATAAAATACTTAGAACTATTCCTTGGCACAACTAGTACTCAATAAATAGTAAACACTATTACTAGATGCCAGTCCTGATTCTGCCATTAAACGCAGGTGTAACCTCAGACAAGTAACTCACCATTTTGGGATTCTGTAAAATGACAGGGCTAGTAATGGATGCTCTATAGCTCCCTATTGACTTTAAAAATATTTAAATTTCAATTCTAAAACATGTTATGTTAGAGAATAATTCCCCCCCCACATGCACACTAATAATTATTTTCCAGGCCAAGCACGGTGGCTTATGCCTGTGATCCCAGCACTTTGGGAGGCTGAGGCAGGCAGATCATTTGAGGTCAGGAGTTCAAGATCACCCTGACCAACATGGAGAAACCCTGTCTCTACTAAAAATTAAAAAAATAAAAATTAAAAAAAAATAGCCAGGTGTGGTGGTACACATTTATAATCCCAGCTACTTAGGAGGCTGAAGCAGGAGAATCACTTGAACCTGGAATCCACTGGAAGTTGTGGTGAGCTGAAATTGCTCCACTGCACTTCAGCCTGGGCAAAAGAGCGAGACTCCAGCTCAAAAAAAAAAAAAAAAAATTATTTTCCCAACTACAATATATACTACACATTATACACCAAACCTACTATTGGGGGCAGACTCGTGTGGATATGACTGAACATCCAGACTACCATTTAAAGTGGAAGCTGTAATTTGAGCACCCATCAAAAAAGAAATATATTAGGAATAAGGAAAGCAGCCCTGGATGAAGATTAAGACTTCATTCTAATCCTGATACTGCTGACAGCTTTAAACAGTAAGTTACTCCTCTCTTTCTATGACTGTTTACTTGTTTGTAAATTGAGAAACATTGGGAATAAATAATCACTAAGCTCCATTTGAGACTTTCTTTACTTTTTTCCTCCTTCCAAACTAGAATGTTGTCCTAGAAACCAAAACTGTTTCTAGAAAACCAAGAACTACAGCATCAATAAATATGAGAACTGGCCAAACTCCTAGCGTAAACAGTCCCAATCTAAGGATGGATAACAATGGCACCAGCCTTTCAGATGGACCCACACAAACGTTCAAGAACCAGCAGACTCTATTCTGTCTGCTTTCCAGAATAATGCATATTCTCCACCACAGAGAAGGGCAGGAAATGGAAATTAGCTCAAGATATATACTGATTGCTACTTTTTACACATCATTACACAATAACTGATGACTCCTTTGTACCACAGTATTATTTTATTCATTTTTTATTTTTTATTTTTTTGAGATGGAGTTTTGCTCTTGTTGCCCAGGCTGGAGTGTAATAGCGTGATACCAGCTCACCATAACCTCTGACTCCCAGGTTCTAGCGATTCTCCTGCCTCAGCCTCCCAGGTAGCTGGGATTACAGGAATGCGTCACCACAACCTGCTAATTTTGTATTTTTAGTAGAGACAGGGTTTCTCCATGTTGATCAGGCTGATCTTGAACTCTCAACTTCAGGTGATCTGCCTGCCTTGGCCTCCCAAAGTGCTGGGATTATAGGCAGGAGCCACCGTGCCCGGCCTGTACTGCAGTATTTTTAATGGCCAACATTTATTCAGTACCTACCATGTGATGCGCCTAGTACTAAGTATCTTAAAATATTATAAAGATGGAAGACAATTTTAGGTGATTTTCAGGTAAGAAAACTATTTAAGGACTGGAGAATACATGGTGGAATTCATTTTCTTAGGTTTAAGATCTTTCCTTGCAAAAAAAGGACAACAGAACCTTAATTATTTCATTATCTTTAAGAAAAAAAAACACATGTAAGTGGAAACTGAATTTTAAATCCTGATTCTCACATTAAGAAAGTAATTTACTCTTAGTACTCCCAAATGGTTTCATTATATTCTTACCTTTTTATTTCAAACCAGGAACAAAGAACAGAAACTCATCTTAAAAATGTATCATTAAAAGTTATTTTATAAAATAAAACTAAAAACCTCTTACCTGAGCATGAAAATTGGACATAGTCGTTGTCTCTATATCTTTCTTTCCCAATATCTCCATTTTCACTGGAGAATTGGGAAAATTAAATGAAAAATAGTCTAAAAAGTCAGGTAAATAAGTAGCTGCCCCATGAACAATACCCATCACATAGAAAGCTGCAGAGTTTTCATTTTCACTGAACACTAGACCCACAAACTCTTCTGCAAACCTCTCCATCTCCATAGGAGACAGATGGGAGAGTTCGTTACTGTAGGCATGAATGACTGATGCACCTCCATTAGGCTGGTGCTCTATATGAATGAGTTGTTTAAATTCCAAAGTGTCCAACCTTTTGAGGTTATTCTGAACTCGTGGCTCCTTTAATGAGACAAATGGAAACTCACTGTTCTCTGGAATTTTGGAATCATAGTTCTTGGTATCCAAATTCTTTCCAACGTAATCTTTCATGTTATCATTTAGAATGCCTTTGGCTTCTTGATCTTCAACATCAATTAGCAATCCTGAACAGATGGTCTGAATAGATTTGCTATACATTTTTGGACGCTTCCGTTTTTCATTCTCTTTGTGTTTCTTTTTCTTTTTCTTCTTTACCTTTTTAATTTGTAAGTCTTCTACATTTGTTTTTGGTTTCTCCTTCCCACCTGTTGGAAAAAATGTTTTTTGAAATTCTATAATTATTTTTTAAACCATGCTTTACGAACAGTTTTGGATAAATAAGAAGTTTACTTCTGAAAATTTACTCAGAAATTATATATTCAGGACTCATTTTTTACAGACCTGATAATCAACATTTAGTCAGTCTCTTCATCTACAGAGAGACACAGACAGGCTTAGAGCAAAGTTACATCTACAGTGTGTGCTTTCTGACACAAAGCAAATGCTCACGGTTTACTGAAATAAAGAGATGAATGAGTATTTTAGAAAACAATCTTCAAATGTTGTAGAAAGTCAGCAATGTAAAGATGAAAAAAGATCAATATAAACAATGTCCTCTAGATGTTACTCACTGATACATATTATCAATTTTACTTCACTTCGGGTCTTAAATATTGCATCAACCTGTCATGGAGATTTATAAATCACAAAGGGAGAAAACTGTTGCACAATATAACACCAACAAACACAGCAATTCCTTAGCGTTTTACCGTATTTCCTCCTTAGTAAATACTCTTGCATCTAATATGGTCTACTTTAGGTCCACCACAGTTTACAAAATTACAGTGAAAACACAGACAGGTACTACAAAAAAGATGACAAAAATCAGAATCATTTCTCATTTCCTAAGCTCAAATAATACCCACATACTGGTAAAGAGATGAATAAAAAGGTAGCTTGTATATTAAAGAGTTTTTGTAAACAAAAGTACATAGATTCTGGGCTCAGAAATGTAGAAATCCAAAGAATAAAAGATTAATCCACAGCTACAGAATCTAAGTATACATATAAACAATTAATATTATCACATTGTATTCATTTCTATGTAAGAAAAATAGAAACAAGTAAATATCCTCACGAGAGAGATAATATAAAACCAAACTAAGGGCTGAGAAAAGGCATTCACTATTCCCACCTTTTACCTCAGTTTCACAGAAAACCTGCCATGAATGAAATTCTCCCAATCTGCCTCTTTACCTAAATATTTCCATCTTCCCATCTTTTTTCCTTTCTGCTTCCAGTAAATGAGTTGTTTTGCCTATTTTCAAAAATAAGTCCCTCCCACCAACTCCAATAACCTTTGTTTAGTAGTCTTTTAACCACCAAATTTTTCATAAATAATCTATGCCCTGAGTGGTTAAAAAAGAGAAAGAAATTTTTTAAATTAAAAAAAAAAAAAAAAAAAAAATCAGGCCAGGCACGTTGGCTCATGCCTGTAATCCCAGCACTTTGGGAGGCCAAGGTGGGCAGACTGCTTAAGGTCAGAAGTTCAAGAGCAGCCTGGCCAACAGATTGAAACCCTGTCTTTACTAAAACCATGAAAATTAGCTGGGTGTGTTGGCGTGCAACTGTAATCCCAGCTACTCAGGAGACTGAGGCAGAAGAACTGCTTGAACATGGAGGCAGAGATTGCAGTGAGCCGAGATCATGCCACTGTACTCCAGCCTGGGTGACACAGTGAAACTCCATCTCAAAAAGAATAAAAAAAGAAAAAAGAATCATCTTGCCCAGTGTCTTTCTTTCCTTTATCACCTTACCATTCTTACTGTTTAAATTCTGGTTCTGCTTTGAATCTGATTAAATTTGCTTTCCCAGAATGTTGAAATATCAAAACCAGTAGCATTTACTCAAATCATTTTTTCTAGTCTCTCCATGATTTGACAGAATTATCCAGCTCATCCTTGATTACTTCTGAATTCCTTTATGCCATTGTCTCAAATTTTGGTCTAACAGACACGTAACGGTCTCTCATCTTGAATGCTAGAGCCATATTAACCTTTCTGTAATTTTTATATATTCTTTTATCATATTCATTCCGTAGCTAAACTGCTTTCAAGAGCTCTCAATGTCTACCTATCTCTTCAGTCTGGAATCCTAAGACAGTGCCCTCAAGTACCGCATGCTCTGGTCAAACTGCATTACTTATTTACAATTTCTTATAAAACATATCTCTACCGGCAAAGGCATTTCCTCTCCTTAAAATACCCTTGCCTTGCTTGTTACTTACCACTGAACTCCTTCCTATACATTTGATATGACTGAAAGTTTCCTGAGGCCTCCCCAGAAGCTGAGCAGATGCCAGCATCGTGCTTCCCGTACAGCCTGCAGAACCATGAGCCAATTAAATCTCTTTTCTTTATAAATTACCCAGTCTCAGTTATTTATTTATAGGAGTACAACACGGACTAATACAGAAAATTGGTACTGAGGAATGAGGCATTGCTATAAAGATATCTGACAATGTGGAAGCATCTCCCCTAGTAGAGAGATTCTCTATGAGGGTTCCATCCCTATAGCACGCTTCTGCCTGAATATCCAGGTGTTTCCATACATCCTCCGAAATCTAGGTGGAAGCTCCCAAGCCACAAGTCTTGCATTATGTGTACTGGCAGGCTTAACACCACACAGAAGTCTTATGGCTGGCACCCTTCAAATAGTGACTCAAGCTGTACCTGGGTCCCTTTGAGCCACGGCTGTAGTTGGGGTGGCTGGGGAGCAGTGAGCAGTATCCTGAGGCTGTGCAGAGCAGCAGGCCCCAGACCTGGCCCAGGAAACCATTCAGTCCTCCTAGGCTTCCAGGCCTGTGATGGGAGGAGCTGCCATGAGTTTCTCTGAAATGCCTTCTAGGACTTTTACATTGTCTTGGCTATTAGCAGTTGGCTCTTTCATTTTGTTTATGCAAATTTCTGCAGCCTGCTTGAACTCCTTCCCTGACAATTGGCTTTTCTTTTCCACCACATGACCAGACTGCAAATTTTCCAAACCATAAAGGTTTGGAAAAAGTAATGCGGGGAAATGTGGGGTTGGAGCCCCCCTACACTGAGTCTCCTCTGAGGCACGACCTAGTGGAGCTATGAGAAGAAGGCCATTGTCCTCCAGACCCTGAAATGGTAGATCCACCAAAAGCTTGCACCGTGCACCTGGAATAGCCTCAAGCTCAAGCACTCGATACCAGCCCTTGAGAGCAGCCACAGTGGCTGAAACCTGCATAGCCACAGCAGGTGGGGCTACCCAAGGCACTGGGAGCCCACCTCTTGCATGAGAGTGTCCTGGATGTGGGGAATGGAGTCAAACGGGATTATTTCGGAATTTTAAGATTTAACGACTGCCCTGCTGGGTTTCAGACTTGCACAAGGCCTGTAGCCCCTTTCTTTTGGCCAATTTCTCCCTTTTGAAACAGGAGTATTTACTCAATGCCTATACCCCCATTCTATCTTGGAAGTAACTAACTTGTTGTCTTTTATTTTATAGGCTCATAGGTGGAAGAGACTTGGCCTTGACTCAGATGAGACTTTGGACTTTGATCTTTTGGGTTAATGCTGGAATGAGTTAAGATTTAGAGGGACTGCTGAGAAGGCATGACTGAATTTTGCAATGTGAGAAGGACATGAGATTTGGGAGGCGTGAGGGGTGAAATGATATGGTTTGGATCTGTGTCCCCTCCCAAATTTCATGTTGAAATATGATCCCCAATTACAGTTGAAGGTGAGGCCTGGTGAGAGGTAACTGAATCATGGGGGTGGATTTCCCCCTTGGTGCTGTGTCGCCATAGTGAGTGACATCTGGTTAAGTGTGCAGCAGCTCCCCTATCACCACCTCTCTCCTGCTCTGGCCATGTGTGGTGTGCCTGCTTTCCCTTCACCTTCCACCATAACTGAAAGTTTCCGGAGGCCTCCCCAAAGCTGAGCAGATGCCAGCATCATGCTTCCTGTACAGCCTGCAGAACCATGAGCCAATTAAACCCCCTTTCTTTATAAATTACCCAGTCTCAGGTCTTTCTTACAGAAGTGCGAGAATGGACTGATATACCATCCATTAAAGCAGGGGTCCCCACCCACTAGGCCACAGACCAGTACTGGTTTATATCCTGTCAGAACTGGGCTGCACAGCAGGAGGTGAGCCAGCAAAGTTTCATCTGTATTTACAGCCATTCTCCATCACTCACATTACTGCCTGCACTCTACTTCCTGTTAACATCAGATTCTCATAGGAGAGTGAACCCTATTGTGACCTACGCATGTGAGGGATCTAGGCTGCATTCTCCTTCTGAGGATCTATTGCTTGATGATCTGAGACAGAGCCAAGGCAATGATATAGTGCTGGGAGCTGCTGCTGCAAATACAGATTAACAAGCTCAGGGGACCCACTGATTCTACATTATGGTGAGTTATAGAATTATTTCATTACATATTATAATGTAATCATAATAGAAATAAAGTGTATGATAAATGTATTGCCCTTGAATCATCCCAAAACCATCCCCTGTCCATCCATGGAAAAACTTTTCCACAAAATTGGTCACTGGTATCAGTAAGGTTTGGGACCACTGCATTAAAGACAACTCTTACATCCTTTCCCTCATTTCTCAAGTTCTTCACTCCTAACTCATATATTATAAAAGTTATATGTTTCACTTATAGGATACTTAAGTGTCTGTCAACACTGTATGAGTGAAACAAATAACCTCTGTATTAATTTAGAGTGAAATGACACCTCTTTTTCCATCATTATACCCCTGATGGTATCTAGCATATTGCTAAACAAGAACACTTAAAGTATGAATTAAAAAATCTATCTATCTCACTAACAGACTACATAAGGCTTATAGTTTTTTCCCTTATCGTCCTTTCAGTCAAGTTTTTGCACATATGACTACCACTAAATTCCAGCCCTGAAAACAACAAAAACTATCTCAAGTTGATAGCATTCTAAAAAAGTGAAGTTTAATGTTCAGAAATTATCTGTAATAATTCATAAAAGTGATAATTTTTAAGTATGCAATGAAGAACAATTTAGTATCATAAGAACCGAAAACAGAAACGTGTCAATGTTATTCATTACATAGGTATATGAAGTCATAAAAGGCAAAGTGTTAATTCTCCAAAGAGTCTTATCTGTAAGCAGTTGACATATATTTGAATGTTATCAGAATCAGACTTGCTGCCTAGGTATGAACTATCAAAACATCATATTTAGGCTAATTAATATCTTAAAAACAGCAAAATTAGCCAGGCATGGTTGCGTGTCCCTGTAGTCCCAGCTACTCAGGCGGCTGAGGCAGGAGAATTGTTTGAACCCAGGAAGCAGAGGCTGTAGTGGGCCCAGACTGTGCCACTGCACTCCAGACTTGGTGTCACAGTAAAACTCCATCTCAAAAAAAAAAAAGAAAAGTAAAGTAAAATGTTGATGGGAGACCCTCCCCAAAGTCACAGACAAATGCACATGGCAGACCACACACAAAGAGCAGCACAGATGTACACATGTATAGAGTCAGAGCCAGAGATAGAGTGCCAGACTGGGAGTGAAGGAATCAGAAACAGAGATGCAGATATACTTAGAGCCAGAGAAAAAAATACACTCACAGAGACAGAAAGAAGCACACACACAAACAAAGACAGCATGAGTTGTTAATGGCTTGGCTAATTATGGGGGGGTGGGGGGGAACCTTTTAAAATCATAAATTCACTGGCCTGATTCTACCACTAACTTTCGTATACTTTCTGTATTAATAAAGTGAAAAACAAAAGTTACTCAGAAAAATTGGATCTGATTTCCTATCTGATATGGTAATTTATACATATATTTATGAATTTTATATGTTTACTATAGATTTATATTCATAAAATTTGTATCTGTCTTTCTCTCCCCCCTCCATTATTATGCATAGGAAAAACAGTACTAATTAGCTTAGTTAATTTCAACTTTTGGTCCCTGGGGAATGACTTTGCTTCTTTTGCACTGCAATGCTGTCACTCTTCCAGCCATGATTTATCTACCTGTGACCTTTAGAACACTACCAATAACTTTGAACACTGACTTATTTTAACCCCCATTCTAACTGCTCACCAGCAAACTTCTTTAAAATGCTAAAATGATAAACATTTGTTCTCAAAAATACTATAATCATAACACATATTCTCACACTTTATCATTAATAAACAACACAAAAATGCCTGGAACATATTACATATGATCAGAAAAAGCAGTTGGTGAACTTTAGTATAAAATGATGAAACCCACTAAATAAGCTTTATTTCAGACTTATTTGTTCCTTTAAACTATTTTGAAAACAGAAAACGATCCAACTTTCTTAGCAAATAAACCTTTGTAACATTTTTACATTAACAAATTTTTATTGTGTATATGATTTTGTATATATTTCTGGTCAAAAAAACCTGATACCCAAGTCTCGCTCTGTCATCCAGGCTGGAGTGCAGTGGTGCAATCTCAGCTACAGCTTCTGCCTCCTGGGTTGAGGCAAGTCTCCTACCTCTGCCTTGCAAGTAGCTAAGATTACAGGTGAGCGCCACCATGCCTTGCTAATTTTTCTATTTTTAGCAGAGATGGGGTTTCACTAGGTTGGCCAGGCTGGTCTCAAACTCCTAGCCTGAAGGGGAACCCACCCAACTTAGCCTCCCAAAGTGCTGGGGTTACAGGCATGAGCCACCACATGCAGCCTACCTGATACAATTTTTTTTTTTTTTTTTTTTTGGAGACGGAGTTTCGCTCTTGTTACCCAGGCTGGAGTGCAATGGCGCGATCTCGGCTCACCGCAACCTCCGCCTCCTGGGCTTAGGCAATTCTCCTGCCTCAGCCTCCCGAGTAGTTGGGATTACAGGCACGTGCCACCATGCCCAGCTAATTTTTTGTATTTTTAGTAGAGACGGGGTTTCACCATGTTGACCAGGATGGTCTCGATCTCTCGACCTCGTGATCCACCCGCCTCGGCCTCCCAAAGTGCTGGGATTACAGGCTTGAGCCACCGCGCCCGGCCACCTGACACAATTTTTAAGAAAAACTTGGAGGAAATGAATTGGTATGGAATAGTTAGCATCTATTTTAGATTCAAATGCCATCATCCATCAATGCTTGTATATACCACAGCTTGCAACATTATTTTTATCAGAAGAAAAAAATTATAAGGATAGAATAAAAGTTGCAGGCCACAAAGAAAAAAGCGGAACACAGTATTAGATGCAAGTATATTTGCCCCCAGCAAACTAAATGATTTGTTGCTCCAAGTCACCAACAACAAAAGATGCCTTTCCCCACCATCACCACAGGCTCACTTGGGAAATGGCTCCATATATTAAGCAAATTCTTTTTGGTAGATAGTAACACATAACACTCAGTGCTTTCAATGAGACAAGTACTCTTATCCAAATGAATCGTGTTTATTCACGTAATTATCTATGTACTACAAACTGAGGAGAGGAGATAGTTTGGTTTTGTTGCTTTTTAATCACAAAGTTAGTCTCTCACATATGGTTACAAGAAAGATTCATATCTACTTACTACGTACCTGTGAGCCAGATGCTATACTTGGCACATATCTCATACTCTCCCTCATTTAATCTTGGTAACACTGTTTAAGGCAGTAATTAAATTATTACTTACCTCCACTGAGAATACATTTTCCCTAAATTTTTCCATGGTCATCCCAGAAGTCACAAATTAATTTCCACATCTATCTCATTATTTTACCCTAATCATCACTAGTTTCAGTTTAACTCAGTTCAAAATATCACCTAAATTTTTGTCTACTTCAAAGTTAATACTTTAAAAAAAAAAAAGTCTCAACTTTTAGGCTGTTTTAAATTTTATTTCCATGTATAATCTCTGGATCCACATTATTCACATTACGTTAGGAATCCAGCATTCAAACAAGAATGTATGAGGCTTTCATAAAATATTTCTAAAATACATTCCTTCTCAGTGACAGTATTTATAGCATTGCATTTTCAAATGAATAAGAAAACTATTTGATTAAACCAGGGTAAAAAAAGGGCCATTTGACTAAACAACGTTAAAGTTAAGTAGACTTTTTTCTTTTTAATTGAGACTGAGGCTGCTCTATGGCCCAGGCTAGAATGCAGTGGCATGATCTCAGCTCACTGCAACTACCGCCTCCCAGGTTCAAGCGATTCTTGTGTCTCAGCCTCCCAAGTAGCTGGTATTACAGGTACCCACCAGCATCCCCGGCTAATTTTTATATTTTTAGTAGAGACAGGGTTTCACCATGTTGGTCAGGCTGGTCTCAAACTCCTGACCTTAAGTGATCTGCCCACCTTGGCCTCCCAAAATGCTGGGATTACAGGAGTTAGCCACTGCATCTGGACTTAAGTACACTTTCAAGCATTCATCGCTAGCTGCTGTACAGGACTAGGGTGATTATATTCAATTCCTGCCCCAAAGGCTTACAATCTAACTAGACAACACATATAGAATACACTGGCAAAAGAAACAGAACGAAAGGATCATGAGCATTAACTAAGCAGCAGTTCTGATGTATTTCTTCAAGGTTGAAAGAATATCATAGAAAATAAAGTTCTCACATGTAGAAACAGACAACGAACATCTGAAAACATGACAAAGCATGCAATGAAAACATAGAATCTAATGCTCTTTATCCTAAAGAATATAAACTACCAGTTATTTTGTTACATCTGTAGTGCTGTGGTCTTTCCCCACCTAAGCAAACATAAAGCCCTATCAATAATTTAGTTCATTATGAAATTAATCAAGGTCAACATGTTCTGATCATCAAATGTCAACTTGATAGGACTAGCGAATTTGCTAGCTAGTGAATGTGCTAATTGTCTAACAATCAAATTCCACTGATTCTTCTTACCTTGACATCTGAGTGAATTTAAGACTATCCTTATATCTATTCGACCGCAAGTTCTCTCTTTACAAATTGAGGCTTATTGATAGGATTTGTAGTATACTTAATACCCAATCACCTACCCCCAAAATTCTTCTCCCCACCCACTCTCATATAAAAACAGCAAATGAATGCAATTGTAACAAACAACTGTAACAGAGAAAAAGAAAATAAAACAAAGATATTCTTAAACATATAAGAAACATATCCCTTCTGATTTAGCTTAGAGCAAAATGTTCCCTCTAAATCCTAGACTATGATATGGTGATCACAGTCAAATATTTTTAAGAAAATCACTTCCTGTACCATCTCTTATCATACTAAAAATTGCTTTGGCGAGTTTTCTTAATTTCTTCCTTTTAATTTAGGTTATCTAAATATGAGTAAAACCAGTAATGCAAACATAGAATTAGATAACTTATTTTTAAATAATTGAAGAAATTAAATTTAATTAATAAAACTTAATAACTTTTTAATGGCTCACTAAATATATACTATAAGACATGTCACCATACAGATTAGAATGCTCCATTGTTACATTTACTTTTCATTTCCTCATTATTGTTTATTCTCCACAAAATTCAGCACCAAATAACATTTCTTATTTTATTCACTTAGCCAATACAGACACTAAACAGTACAATTAAGTAGAACTAAAATCACTGAATAAAACTTACTTTTCAGCAAAATCTTTACTTCTCCATTCTCTTTCTTGATCTCATTCATTACTTTATGTTTCTTTTTCTCTCTCTCTTTTTCTTTGTCTCTCTCTTTAATTTTGTCTTTGATTTTATCTGGAAAACAAAGGAAATATTTAAAACAAAAAAATTACAATTTTTAAAATCTGCACCCACTATAGGTAATTTTTAAAATCTGCACACACTAGAAATTACAATGCACAAATAAAATCAGAATGCCTTTTCTTTTTCCTCCCAGGTTTTGAGGAATATTTCTAAATTTCCTTCCTTACTGAATATGAAATACATATTGTGAAAATTTATCATTATACATTTCAATCTAAGTATTTTTCATTTACTTCATGTCAACAAAAATATTAAATTTATTTCAAATTACTTAACTAACTTTAGTTGAAGCGACAGCTACAGTGGAAAAGTGCTACTGTTGAAATTGAGCATCTACGGATGAATAACGTAACAGATAAACTACTTGATCTTAGTTACCTAATCTGTAAGATGGTAACTGATACCTTCCTCATATGGTTACTATATGGATTAAATGAAAAAAGATGTAAAATGACTATGTATATACAAGACGAGCTGTTGGTTCCCTTACCCGTGGCTCCTTTCAAAAACAGTATGACTCAATATGACTACCTGGTGATATTGTAATATTTAAATAAAGGGTTTAATAACTCTAGGGATCATTCAGTTGCATTCTAAAAATTCAAGCAAAATATCTGATATCCTGTAAAATTATTCTTTGTTCAAATGACTTCCTATGCACCCAGCAAAGGACAAAATATAGAGAAAGATATAAAAATAATAACATAAACCTTTGCCCTCAAAAAGCTTATTATTGATTACAAAATCAAGATGGAAGTACACAAGAACTGTGAAATATCCAGGAATATAGTTGAGATTATACAGTATATATGCATACTGCATAGTCTCTTAAAAATCACTCCTTATTTTCCTTTCTATAAATACTACCATAATCCAGGTTCTAATCATGTAATGATTAGATTACTGTCTATGTAAGTACTGTCCTGATCTAGACAGTAAACTAAATCTGAATTGATAAACAATTTTATTAATTTTAATAAAACCTTTACTTAACCCAAAAGGTACAAAACATTATAGTTTTAACATGGAACTAGCATTTTTAAATTGTGAGATTTTACAGTTTTCTCTAAGATTTCAAAATCTAATGTGTATTTACATTTATGACACATCTTAATTTGAAACTAGTTCCACTTTAAGTGTTTAATAGTCACACGAAACTAGTGGCTACCATACTTAATAGCACAGGTCCAGACTACTGAAATAAATTTTCAAAAAATTAAATCCACGTGATTAATAAACGTTTTTAAACTTTATTCATTAATAATAATATACAAATTAAAAGACAATATTTTCACCCATAAAACCGACAAAGTGGTTTTTTTGGTTTCTTTTTTTAAGTGAAAATACTCCAAGCATATGAGAGCACAGCAAATAAAAACAGGAATTCACTGACTCAACAAACATGTAGCCTAAGAAAAATGTTAGGGATATGGGGTGAATAAACTAGATAAAGTCCTTATCTGTTCCCATATAACTTAACTTCTGGAATAAATTAAAGTGTTCCCACATTTCTGAATGGTTTGTTACTCTATTTTCTGCTGTTAAAGTCCTTGAAATCCCGTTGCAGGCTGCCATCCACCTATTACACAATGTTACTCCAGGTCAGGCGCAGTGGCTGACATCCGTAATCCCAGCACTTTGGGAAACCAAGGTGCGTGGATCACCTCAGGTCAGGAGTTCAAGACCAGCCTGGCCAAAATGGGGAAACCTCATCTCTACTAAAAATACAAAAATTAGCTGGGCGCGTTGGCAGGTGCCTGCAATCCTAGCTACTTGGGAGGCTGAAGCAGGAGAATCGCTTGAACCTGAGAGGCACAGATGCAGTGAGCTGAGATCATGCCACTGCACTCCAGCCTGGGTGGCAAAGTGAGACATGTTCTTTGGGGGAAAAAATAAAAGTTACTCCAAATAGGTGGAGCTTAGACACATTATATAAGATAGTATTTCCTAAGCAACAAAACTTTTAACAAAATGAACTATTTATATATCACTTAAAATTACAACTGAAGAAAAGTCATCTAAAATGTCTCCAAATTTCTCTTTCCAACCATTCGTGTTAATCTTATCAACTTGAAAGTATTTTAATAACTATTAAACTTTATTAAAGTATAATATTAACACAGTAAAATGAAGATACTTGTGAAACAGCACTCCAAAACTCTTCCAGTCTTTATACAGCATCCCAAAAGGTACTCGCAATCCTGACTTGTAACCATACAGGTAAAAGTAACTATAAACTTTTTTTTTTCTTTTCAGACAGAGTCTTGCTCTGTGTCACAGGCTGGAGTGTAGTGGCATGACCTCAGCTTATTGCAAACTTCAACTACTGGGTTCAAGCAATTCTCCTGCCTGAGCCACCATGTAGCTGGGATTACAGGTGCACGCCATCGCACTTGGCTAATTTTTGTATTTTTAGTAGAGATGAGGTTTCACCACGTTGGCCAGGCTGGCCTTGAACTCCTGATCTCAAGTGATCTGCACACCCTGGTATCCCAAAGTGCTGGGATTACAGGCGTGAGCCACCACGCTCAGCCAACAACTATAAACTTTTAATGGCATATATTTAGAATATAAGCCTACAACAATCACAAAACATAAATATTTTTCAGAATAAAATTAAACTAGCTTCTAGGGAAATAAAATTATCACACACTGACTCAATTATTTTTAAACTTTAGAAGTATACATGCATTACAAAAACAAACTGAAAGATAACCCAAAGTATTAAAAGACATTATTTTTAATTATTTAATTAAATATTGAATATATTTAACTTATTTAACACTTAAAATTCCACTATTTAAGATGGAAGTTTTCTAAGATTCTGCAATGGACACATATTAGTTTCATAACCCAGGAAAAGGAATCTTGGAATATGCACTCAGGTATATTAAATAATTCAAGTACAGCTGCAGGTATGAAGTCATTATATGAAAAACATGTATAGAAACAATGGCATAGCCAAGACAGGAGTTATGGACAACATAACCGCAGTTACCCCTCTTGACATCAAAACATCCTCGAAAAAACAAATAATCCTATTTATATATAAACAAAGGGCATTTTTTGTGACATCACTTCTTTCCTTGACCCACACACCTATGTTGCTCTCACTACTTATCCTTTCAACCTACCTTTCACCCTTCTTAGAATTTTTCCACTTTTTGGCAGAGCCTATTCTTTTTCAAATTCCAATCATTTTCTTTATTTTTTCCTTAATTGAGACAGGGTCTCACTATGTTGCCCAAGTTAGTCTCAAACTCCTGGGCTCAAACAATCCTCCTGCCTTGACCTCGCAAAGTGCTGAGATTATAGGCATAAGCTATCATACCCACCCCAAAATCCAACCTTAAATGCCTCCATTAAACTTCCTGTAATCATGTTACATGGCACAGCTAAGATAAAGTGAGATGCCTACAAACTCAGGAGACCTAGGTTCAAGATTATGCTCTGCAACCTTGATAACTGATAAACTTTCAGATCTCCAGATGCAGCTGTAAAATGGTGTTTGTGTAAAGATTAAATAGAAAATACATACCAAAGCAGTTTGTAAAGATACAAGCCTTACAAATGTAGAATAGTATCTATGCCTATTTACCTATAAGATTGGTACCCGTAATACCAAAAAAAGAAATTCTGGCCATAATTCAGACCACTGTATATAAAATCAAATCTGACATTAACGGATCATAGTATATGCCTTTTAAAAGCCACCTCTGGCCAGGCATGGTGGCTCACACCTGTAATCTCCACACTATGGTAGGCCGAGGCAAGCACATCACCTGAGGTCAGGAGTTCCAGACCAGTATGTACAACATGCTGAAACGCCATTTCTATAAAAAATACAAAAATTAGCCAGGCGTGGTGGCATGTGCCTGTAATCCCAGCTACTCAGTAGGCTGAGGCAGGAGAATCACTTGAACCCAGGAGGCGGAGGCTGCAGTGAGCAGAGATCGCATCACTGCACTCCAGCATGGGCAAAAGAGCAAGACTCTGCCTCAAAAAATACTAGTAATAATAAAAGCCACTTCTAGGCCAGAGGCGGTGGCTCATGCCTGTAATCCCAGCACTTTGGGAGGCCAGGGAGGATGGATCATGAGGTCACGAGTTCAAAACCAGCCTGGCCAACATGGCAAGACCCCCTTTCTACTAAAAATACAAAACATTCACCAGGCATGGTGGTGGCCGCCTATAGTACCAGCTATCCGGGAGGCTGAGGCAGAGATTGCTGGAACCCAGGAGGCGAAGGATGCAGTGATCCGTGATGGCACCACTGCACTCTAGCCTGGGTGACAAGAGTGAGACTCTGTCTCAAAAACAAACAAACAAAAACGAAAAGAAAAAACCACTTCTAGATCTTTACACATAGAAGTGGTAAGATGGAAAACAGCGCCCTAGCATCACTGTATACTATAATATATTACTCCTAACAGACTAGAATTCTTAGTCAGTTTTTAATTTCTTTCTGTGACCAAGAATTTGTTTAGTTTTATCCTTCACAGTCTAATCTCAGGCTTAGAAAAAATTCATAACTGACCTCATCACAATTCTCAGAAAAAAAGAATTCTGCCACCATAAAAGCAAGAAACCATCTGTTTGAAAAGTCAAACTAAATAGAAGGATTACACATTGTATTTAAAAATAAAAAGAGAAATCATGACTATGTGTTATTGGCAAAAAGAATACACAAATAGATAAATGGAACAAAATAGGGAGTCCATAAATAGATCCACTTAAATATAATCAACTTATCTTAAGTAATGGCTATATAATGGAGATAAAACAGTCTTTTTCAACAAATGGTAATGGAACAACTGGATGTACACATAAAAAAAAAATCTAAATTAGGACACGTGGTATGTGCTAGAAAATAACACAGAAGAAAATCTAGATGACCAAGGATTTTGGCAATGACTTTTTAGATTCAGCACCAAAGGCACAATAGATTAAAGATGTAGCTAGTAAAGGGTTATTATTCAAAAAAAGATAAC